TGTGTGCTATCTGTGCTATAACCAGTGGTTCCGACCGACATATTAGTCTAGGAAATACAAACTAAGCTGATTTGCTTAAAAATATGGACCAAGTACCGATCTCCATTCTTAAATGCAACTTTTGGAAAGATAGGGTGGCACTGGATCTTTGCCTGCATTTTACAGACACTTGTGCGGATGAGTGCAATATTGCCAAGGGACTTACTAGACGCTCCCAAACCCAGCAAGAACATCTATTAGGTCCTGGCTGCATTTGGAAAACACTTTGACCCAGTGGGAACTGCAAGTAATTCTGGACATGGTAAAATTCCACAGGATCTCTATTAGCAGTATCACCATCATTATCATCATCTATTACTACTGCTGCTACATCTATATCCCAGCTTTTTTCCTCTTGCAAGGAGCGCAAGGTGATTTGCAAGGTTCTCTTTCACTCCATTTTTATCCTCACAACAACAACCTTGTGAGCTAGGTGAGACTGACAATGAGTAACGGGCTCAAACTCACCCAATGAACCTCATGGCTGAACAGGGACTAGACCCTAGATCTCCCAGGTCTCCAGTCCAATGCTGGAGAACCCTAGAAAGCCAGATTAGGACAGCAAGAAGGCTGGATTTGGCCTTCTGAAGTTCCCCACATCCAGCTGTGATTACCACTTCTCTTCCTTGGCTGTGAAGAGCTAGTGTGGCGCAGGGCTTGGCCATTATGTTAGAGGCGACTGAGGCAATCGCCATGCAGTGTAAACACCATGCTCTGTGGGTATTGAACTTGCATATGGCGACTGGTTTTTATGGATCCTTATCTGCTCAAGGGACTTTACAGTGGTCATGGGGGGAATAGTGGTCTATATTTTCACATGAAATTCAGTATGTGGCACTTACCAATACTGGCAATGAGCAAGTATAAAGGTCTATAGAGGAAGGGTTAATCCTGTCTCTAAGCAATCCTGTACACTAGAAATGTTATCATTCTTAATAGCTGATAGAGGAGCCTCAGCACTTGCCCCCAGCCGACATATTTCACCCTTCACTGAAGTGCATGACAGGTCCCCTCCCACTAGCTGAATGTTGGGATTATCTGGAGCAGACATCTGTGGCCACTGTCTACGGAGACCACCCATTGACAGCAGAAAATACCACAATGCAGCCAGTGAATAGTGAGAGGTGAAGGGTCATGCGCTCCGACCAGTTGACTTGAAGTATCTCAATAAGAACTGAATGGAAGAAAAAGCTTATTTTTAAGAAAGTATGCAATTCATTGGCACAACAATGAGAAACATCGGCACCTCATAGCAAGTGGTGTTGTGTAAGATCTAGTTTGATTCTGCCTGTGTGGATTACCTGTTTCTGCAGTTCAAAGGTACCCTTTTCTGATCAAGTAAATTATGTACCAAAAATCATATGCATGTCTCCTCTCTTTCTACTACTTCCCTTCTGAGCTTAGATCAGCCAGACTCCTAGCTTGTATTCATGAGGGGAATTAGCTCCCCGCATCTGGCATGTTTGCTCCTCATAAAAGATTCCACAGGAATATAAACTCCGTCCTGTCTCTCAAATCTTTTTCAGGTGGGGCATGTCCCTCCCATACAATATATGGGTCACATACGCATCATCCAAAAAAGGGAAGTGTGTTGCCAGAAGAAAGATAAAAAGGTTGGGATCAGTTATGTGCATAATAATGTATAAGCATAGAGCAATAGAGCTATTAAACTATATATAATTGACTATATTTCAAATGAAAAGACAATCCTTCACACGGAGGAAAGACCTGTGAGCAGGTGAGCTCATCCTGCTCTGCCTGCTGCCAAGAGGGCAACTCTGAGGCCTGGCTGCTTTCCCTGCTGATACTTCTTTAGCCTTAACTGGACTTGGACTGGACAGTCCTTCCAGCAGAGGCGTATCCTCTGACATAAGTTCAGAGCCAGGACCGGCATCTCTACAGTGGTCCCCCCTCATAGCCCATTCCTCTCCACAGAAGTAAAGACAGATGATGAAAATGAGCAGGATACAGCTATAAGCTACCAGCTCTCAAAGGACAGCTCTGAGAGCCCTTTCATCCCCTATGGCATATTGAAAGCGCACTTAGGGTGCAATCTTATGCGTTTGGATAGAAAAAGGACCTATAATTCTCAGCATTCCCCAACCAGACCTTTGTCTATCTAAACATACATAGGATCGTGGTTTTAGAAGCTTGTCCTCCCTGTAGTTGAGAACTGAGAGAGGCTGGGAGCACAAGCAAAGCACCTGGCACCATCCCACTCCCCTCTGCCTGCCAAGGCATCTGGACAGGCTGTTATTAAAAGTCTATGAAATCAGCCAGAGGGTGGCTCAGTGCCATTTTGTTTGGCAGCCTGTGAGAAGATGCAAGATGTAGCTCTCCATACCAGCTGGAGCTCCAGGTGGAGCTGAGATACCTTTTCTCTCCTATTTATATATGATGCAAAAGGCTAATCAAAAGATGTTTGAAATGACTAAAACAAGTAAGAAAGTTGTCTCCACCTGAGTGGGATGGTGTAAATTGGTGTCCTGTAACAGCAAGGAGTTGGACCTGATGGCCTTCATGGCCTCTTCCAACTCTACTATTCTATGTCCATCATTATCATTAACAACAACAGCAGCAGCAGCAACTATTTATTTCTATACCACCTAATACTCAAAGTTTTCTGTACAGTTCGCAACTGTTATTGTCAAATTCTGATATTTTTCACTGGGTTAGGTACAGGTTATACTTGGAATAGACCCCTTGAAATCAGTGGGACTCAACATAGTCAGAACACTGCTGGATATCTTAATCAGTTAGCTTGTTGGGTTGAAACTTATGCATTCATAATGCTCGACTATGTGGCAGGTTTTGGATTGCTGTCTGACTAAAGTCTGATTAATTCTGAAATAGACTCGAGGCTTTGGAGGAGAGTGACAGCACACATGTGCTGAGTTGGTTAGTTCAGCATTCTTTTTCTGTGATGAAGTCACCTAAAATCTTTAGGGAAAAGTTGGCATTTGAAATCTTTCCACAAACCAATTATGTTTGAAGAAACAGCCAAACAGGTGGCATCCACTCATGTAAAAACCTCTCCCTCCCTTCTCCCTATACTGATTAGCATTGTTGAGTAAACATCATGAAAAAGGCCATGTGGAAGCAACTATTTTGGAAGAGGTACCTAAAATGATGTCACATGATGGAATTGCACATGGTACAATTCCAAAAGACAGCTCTCAAGATACAGTTTGATATTGCACAGGTGTAAAAACTTGCATGCTAAGTACCTGATCTTGAATTAAAGGAGAGTTCATATGCAGGATTAGATAGATGAGTTTGTTACTTTCTGGGAAAATAATTAACTTGTGTGAGTTTTCTTTGCCTATCAGCAGTCATGACTAGCTTGATTCCTGCTGATTTCACTGGATCCACTTTAGCTATGATTACATCTTTATATTTTTCTATATTTGTTTCTCAGTGTTTTCATTTGATGCCCATATTTTGCCCCCTTCTGCAGGGTAAACAGACTATGGGGGTGTGCAGAGCAATGCTCACAGTATTTTTCCAAGGAATGACAAAGTTTTGCCAACTTCTAATGAGCAATTTTGGTGGCAGATATAGTTCTCCCCTCATGCCAAGTTTGAGCATTCAGCTGTTACAGAATGACAAATGTCTGTGCTGGATTGGCACAGCCCACATTCATCCGACATATGCAGATTTGGGATGCATCTGGTCTAAGCATTCGTGCTTACTGTCTCTGTCCTAAAATAAAAAGACCATCCTCTGAAAGAAAACAACCAAAGTCATATGTACTGATCATGGCAGAGATACAAAATGAAGCATGGAAGCATTCTTTTCACCCAGAGTTTTCTGGTTACAATTACTTAGTTTTGAATTCAGACTCCCAACTCTCAGGTTACACAGATGTCTTTGGAATATCAAAGGCATCTACACATTGTGATTATTGATGATGGTGATGATGATGAGAGAGATATCAATATCCGATGAATAAAAACTTGTTCTTTTCATCAGGGGTACAAGGGAGGTCTAAACAAAGCCAGATTTTTATTTTTATTTGAAAAATACTAGGGAGTTTCCAAAAGAGGCATACACTTTGAATGGATTGTTCCTCTCCCTTGCTTGTCTGCCGTAGAGCTTTGTACAGCAATATTGCTATATGCTCCCTACTTTCCAGAGAGGTGCTAAACCCTGCGGGGATTCCACAGGTTTTAATAATAATCTAATCTTGCTTGGATGAGAGACTACAGAAGTCTTAGGGTGCCTTTGGAAAAGTTACAAATATACACAAAATGGAAGCGGAAAGACTCCTAACAACCTGCAGAGGGATTAATCTGTTGCAGCAAAACCAAAGAAGAGCCTTGTGGCTCTTTACAGACAACCAAGTTTATTGTGGAATAAGCTTTCATGGACACTATTCATTTTATTAGATGCATGTCACCCCCACTCCCTGTTCGTGTGTTTACTGCCTGCCTTGCATTGAATGAATCAGTGGAATGGAGAGCCTACATTGCTGGACATTCTAGAAGCCACTGCCAACATGACAATGGTCAGAAATGTTGTGAATTAAACTCCAAAACATCTGGAGATCTCCTTTGTGTCATTCTGTGGCACACACACCTATAGCTGATTATGTGCAGGGCCCTATCTATTTGGAGCTCCCTGCATGATGAGAAGAAGGTTTATGTTCTCATGTAGATTCATCTTTGAAATGATCTACTGAATTTAGAAAAGAGTAGAAATGTGTTCATCTCACATTTTTATGCAAACTTACCATTTATGCCACTTTTGAACCACACTATGAACAGCTAGCCTTTGATTGTCAAGCTTTGCTGAATGTTACAAGGTTTTCTCATTTTAAAAAAATGCATATCCTAGGCACACCAACCTTTAAAATGCATTATATTTAGAAAATTGCTTGCCATGAATGTGTAGATTGGGCCAACATGAGTAAAAACACAGACAAAACATATACAATGATGCTTATAAATTTACATGCTAACAGCCGGGGTGTTTCCGGGCTTTAACTATATTTGTATTATATTTATTTATTTGTGTGAGCCATCCGGAGGCTATATAGCAAGGGGACAGCATACAAAAACTTTAAATAAAAATAAAAAATAAAAACAATTTCAGTCATCTCAAGACTGGAGAAATTTCAGTGTTCAAGGTGAACCCAAGAGCTTTGCTTTGACTTCCTGTCCATAGTATTGCCAACAGGAAGTCCTCTGTGTTCCTTCAGGCAGCTCACTGGCCATCCCTCTTCTCCCATAATGCCATTTCCAGAAGGTTCCATTAGCCTCTGCACTCAGTGACCTGCAACCCACTGTTTCATTTCTGACTTTGACTTCTCAAGGGACAGTCATGATCAAATCAGAACCAGCTGTGTGAGCTGCTCCTTAATGGCTATTCCACACTGTACACAATCTACATTAGTGATGTGCTCTCAGTTATGTGTGTGTGCGTGCATAGAGGGGAATGAATTGTGAGGATTTGGGGTTTTTTTTTGGAGCCACTGTTATCTTTGCCTTTCCTATTGCTGCTGGAGTGTGAAGCAGGAAAATGGTTCTCTGTTATTTCACCATTTAACAAAACAAGAGAATCCCACCCTCACCATAAATCAAGTGATCTCTTATTAAAACAAAAACTTCCATGGTATATATCAAGCTTTCAGTGTCCCATCTTCCCCAGTAATGATAAATGCAGTACTGATGGTTGATTATTTGGCAGGAACACAAGAAATGTCCTTCTCCATGGCTGCCCTTGCCTCTGGAATCTCCTGGCAAGAGAGACCACACTAACTCCATCATGGTTGTATTTCTGCCAGCAGGCTTTTGGTGTTAAGTGGAAGAAGGTTTTAATCTGGTGGATACTGTTAGTTCTTCATGTTGATGAATTTTGACTTGATGATGGTTAATGTTTTAATTACAGCATGTTTTTCACATCTCTCGATTTTTTAAAAATCATCACCCTGAGTGCAGTTTTTAGTCAAATAGTGGGGTATAAATCCTACACACACAGTATGGACATGAAGCAATTTGGCTTCTACTTTGAAATATAGTAATATTATTCTTTATATGTAGCATCATAGCACCATGGTGCAGCATATATTCTACACACAAAAATCACATGTTCAGTCTTGGGTATCTCCAGGGACTACGAAAGAATTTTGTCTTAGAACCTGGAGAACATCTGTCTGTCAATGAAGACAGTATAAAGCAAGATGAACCAATGATCTGACAGCCAATATATGGCAGCTTCCTATGTTCCCATTAGCTGGACAAATCTGGAGTAGTTGATATATTTAAATATATATATTTCAAACACCCTTTGTTGTCATTGTCCTCCTCCTCCTCTAATATAGACAACAATGCTTGGTATACCACTGGTGTTGATCAGATATAGACAATCTAGTACCTTCCAGATATTTTAGACCATTAGTCCTATCTGCCCTAGCCACCATGACAAATGATTAGGGATTATGAGTTGCTGCATATAGTCTGGAGGGCAGTAGGTTGCCTCTCTTGGTGTAGATGATGTTTGTTGTAGTTATCCAGGTAATGTAAATAGAAACTTGCAATATGAAGTAGATAATAGGGAATACAACAGAGGGAGGGAGAGTCACGCATAGGGAAAGAAGAAATTGGGTAAATGCTGTTAGCCTCTACTAAGGTGGGTTAGAACTGGGAATAAGGATGACGAGACTAATCCTAAAGTCTCACCAAAAAGATGGAACTTGAGGAAGGATCTGAAGAATGAAGTTGCAGTGAAGCCATCTATATGAGGATTACATGTTGGCCCTGATCCAGTTCATACATAATCCAAGGCATCAATTTGGTCATCTTTAAATGCTTGAATCACAGAACCAGGAGGGATGTGGAAGGTCATGGTATGCAACCTCCTATTGCACCCTGTCCAATGCAGGATCTACAATGAGGTATGCCGTTAAGGCAACCCTGACAGGTGGCTGCTTTTGTTTAAATACCATAAATATCTACAGTGAAGGAGAGCCTATCCCCTGCCCTGAGGTCAACCAAACAGCTCATGCCATTAAGAAGTCTCTGGCAATGTCCAGCCCAAAGCCATTTCAGAAATATTGTGCTTTCGATCTAGCAAATGGATTAAGATGGTGTAATGTTGGGGGACGATTGCCAGAGGCATCAGTGTTTATTCTTGAGTAGTAACTCAGTCTTGAATAAAAATCCTCTAGAGAAGAGCATTCTAATCCCTGGCCAGTAGAATATAAACCACGTGTAAACTGAACTCTGCTTGCAGTGATGTGAAATTTGTATCCAGTGCATTGCAGGATTTGAAATAGCAGGCAATGCAGCAGCCAATAGATTATTAATTGGAAGGCAAAGATCACAGAAAAAGCTCCGACTTCTAAAATGATGCAGGTTTAGAGCCCTCATAGTAATCACAAAAGATGCAGAACTGCACAATACAGTTTCCTATGAAACTTGAAACCAAACATAAAGGTTTCATGACCTATTGCAAGGAGTAGAAACATGATCCTTGTGCTTCCCTCCAACCAAGACGTGTGACCTTTGCAGTGGTCAACTAATTTGTTGAAAGATTTCAGCTCAGAATTCTTAATATATGTACTGAATTCAAATAACTGATTGGCTTGTTCAGTTTTGTTGAGGAAAACGCATCATCAAGGAGCAAGTCTGCCCAGCAACTCTAGGATCTGGGAGCATAATTTCTAAATTTGCATCTCTACATATACATTTGAATAGGTGAATTTTATACAAACTGGAATATTTATTTGCCCTCTTTTTAGTGATTTAGATTGCCACTGTTTAGATTGTAATCTCACACCCATATACCTTGGTCTAAGTTCCACTGAGTTCAACAGGATTCATTTCTAAGTAGAGACATATAAGATCAGACTGTTGCTGTTCATGTACTTAAGTGGCTCCTAGATTATTTTCATCTCCAGGTAAGGTTGCTCATACCAAGAGCCCTCTATCTACCATGAGACTACTTGCTCCCAGAAAGCAAAACAAAGACCATCCTGAGATATCCTGGCACCATTTTGCTGAATATGATTTTCCTATGGGGAAGTAAAACATGCTCAGTTCCTTGCAAAACCATCCTGACATGCCCCATGGATCTTTGCCCTTGTCTCGGGAAAATGGAGCTTAAGCTGCAACAGCCTTTCTGTTGTGGTACCTTGTGTTGCAGGTGTTGCTTGGCTGAACTTCAATCCTGTTTCCACATCATGAGCTCAAGTTTCTATTTCTATGGCAACCCTTCCTTGGAATCCTCTGTGAAAGGCACTTCACTCCAGCATAAATAAGCCCATGGAAAGGTCAGTCATTTGGTTAGTCAGAAGTCCGTCCTGGGCAATAGCGCCTGTATGTCCTTTCAGTTCTTCAGGTCCATTTTCATTTCAAATTCATGTTGGTGGGCTGATCAAGCACAACATGTGGCATTAGGCATTCAGTTATTCATGCGTGCACGCGCGCGCGGACACACACACACACAGCGGGAGAAGAGACTCATACATGATGAATACTTGTGTAGAATACATCAGGAGCCGGTCATGTGCTGGATGTGATGCATGAATCAATAACTATAGTGATGGACCATGACTCATATCATGACTGCATCACGGATCCCCTCCACAATGGTTTATTGTTCCTGCTATAATATGGAACGCATCTTAATGCAGAGGGACCAGGGACGTGTTTGAGCATCAGGATGGTGCATATTAAAGGAGGTTTTAAAACATAGAGAAAATGTTCGTTGGTCAGGAATAGCTTTCAAGAAATTCATACAGACAGAAGGCCAAACAGTAAAACGTGTATTTGTGGGTAGGAATGTGGAAAAATGTAAAACTCAGTCTCATCAGCGCATTCAGATGTCTACCTTAAAGCTCATCCCTAACTCATGGCCACGTTGAATCATGTTTTCCACAAAAATGTAGATATCTTTGTGTACTTTTTTCTGAAGCTTATCACTTTTTGTGCACATCTTTAAAGGATATACTGTTTCATGAGTACCTTCTAATTGTATGCGTTTTGGGGCACACTTTTGCTGAGGTATGAATCACAGTGCAAAGGGAAACTTTGGCCCTGTAGATGTTGTTGGACTATGACGCCCATCATCTTCAATCAGTGTGGCCAACAGTGAAGGGCAATGGGCATTCTGCTTCAAAATGCAGGGGCCTACCAGCTGCCTGTGGGGAACCCACAACCAGGACATGAGTAAAAAAGCACCTTCGCATTCATGTTCCTCACCAACTGCTATACAAAGACATGCTACTTCTGATACTGGAGGCAACATATACTCGTAGCCAACACTAGCTTTCGCCTTCATGAATTTATTTAATTCCCATTTAAAGCCATTGAAATTGGTGGCCATCACAACAGCTGTCCTGAATCTGGATCTGGAATTACCTGGATCTAGAAGTCAGGCTTTATACTTTTCCTGGGTAAAGCCAGAATTTTAATTAATTAAATAAAAAAATACCTCTCTTTTTTTCCTTTCAAGGAACTCAAGTTTAGTGAGTTTCAAAGTATATTGCAAATTCTATCTATCCCCTTGGACAGAGTCATTTTCACTTTGGAAAGTTTTACTCCACTTGGCCTGATCAGTGTTTCTCAACAAATGCTGACACTGTCATCTCAGATTTATTTTACAGTGCATGTCAAAACACAGATTGTACATGTAGCATTCTGATTGTGGTTAATGCCCCCTTACAATAAGCACATACAAGGATCTGGAAGCCAGTGTTTAGGGACATCAAGTTGCAGTGACTCATGATTTCACCTTGCTCTGCCCTTGGAATGGATGCTAAGTTGTTCCAGTCTTCTGGTGTAGTTTTACTGGCTGCTTTGCTGGAAGGAAATGAGATACACCCTATCGGCAGTACAAACTGGTCAGGATCACTTTCTGAAAGTTTTGTTGAAGGGCAGATCCTTTATGGGAGTATGAATGGCTTTGTAAATTGCCTTCAGAAGTAACACAGAATGTTTCAGTCATCTCTAAAAGAACTGTTTACGGTTGCATATGGCAGTTATTATTTGCAATAATAAACCCTTGGAGAATCCGAACATTCATGGGCCAACAGATGGGTCAACCTGCTTAGCAATTTAACAAAGTAATTTATTTCAATCA